CTGTATGTTGGTCGTTTTTTTTTCTGGTCGTTGCTTTGAACGAGCTGAAAAACGGGGACAGCTCCGGGGAGAGAACACCAAAAACCGGGACTAGTCGCCATAGGATATATACATTGTAATAAGGAATCAGTTTTAGTTAATACATTAGCGACATACGTTTTAGTTAATAAATTAAAGAGTTAGACCTCTCCACAACCACAAATTAATTACTTTCAAATATTTAAAAGTTCTTTCCAGTCCTTTGTAATATGAAGACCAAGGCTTTGTCCTTGATTGTATATCACAAATACTTTGCAGTTGGGTAATACTTGAGAGCACTTCACACTGCAGAAAGGTTCGTTTTTAACCACTTTATAAGTGTTTACGTCAGTATAACCCATTCAGACAGTTTTATAGAGAACTGTGAAATGAAATGAGTTAATTATTACTAAATGAGGACTGTAATGCTTTATCTAGTAACATTAATTAACGCGGTTTTTAATGAATAAAGTGCATCCACAATGAGTAACGAACCGGAAAATGTGCGTCTCATTTCGTTCCCTATCGTGCGTCAGTTTATAGTAAACGCGAATTCTTTCAAGCTGCGTCCTCACCGCCAGTGAATTTTTGTCTCTGCATGTTGTTTATCCCCGTACTTCAAGGACATGCCTACATTCTGTCGCAAACATCACAACATTGTAACCAATCTGCATAGCTTTTCTTGCTGTTATTTTTTTGTGCTTTGCTATGCAAATCTAATAAAAGTGTGAGTAGAAATATATTGGAGTAAAAATATAATTTTGTCTTTTTAATACAGTTAAGTTAAAGTCAACAAAAAATATTTAAATACACCTTTATAGTTATTTTAAAGGGGTCATATGATGCTTTTTGTTGAATCATTATTTTGTGTATTTGGTGTAACAGAATATGTTGACATGCTTTAATGTTCAAAAAACATTATTTTTCAAATACTGTACATTATTGTAGGTCCTCTATGCCCCGCCTCTCTCAAACGCTTCGTTTTCTACAAAGTCCCTCCTTCCGACAAGCGCAGTCTGCTCTGATTGGCCAGCTGACCCAGTGCATTGTGATTGGCCGAACACCGCAAGCACTCGTCGGAAATGTAACGCCCCTTACCATAATCGCGAGCTTCATCTTTCAAAATAAATGCAAAGACAGAGCCCGAAAGGGGAACAGAGTCGTGTGACAGACACAGTGATGAAGCTGGTATGTGTTTGCAGCACACAAGCCACGGTTAAGACAGCTGACTCTACTGTGATGTGACGCTGTCTCTCTCTCTCTCTCTCTCACACACACACACACACACGCGCGCGCGCACACACACACACACTCACAGACACACGATGCGCAAAACTCCGCATTTGAACAGTCAATAGCAAATACTTAAACTAATAACAAAACA